AACCCGAGAACACAATGATGCTGACCTATTTGGGGAGGCCACTGAGAGGGTGGTGGTGGCTCTCGAAGTCAGCTATGAAAGAGCTTAGGAGAAGAAATGGAGGAAAGCAAGGAAATGTTACACTATGACAAAGGTAACAGGAGAAGAGTAGAGGGATGCTACCCATGGGGGCTGTGCTCTTCCATGTTGGGGATTTTCATCTTTTCCTAGCTGATACTTTGGACCAAATGATACGCAAAATGAAAAGGATGTTTTCCAATACTGTTTTTAGAAGATGGCAGGTGATGAGATTCTATGTTGTGATTCCAAGTTACTATTTTAATGTGGGGCAGGATATGTGGTAGCCCATGATTCAGTGTTCAGGTAACCATCTGTATTGGATTGTAACTATAGGCCTACTTGTTCTGCTTTTTCCAGTTTGTGTAGTGCTGAAAACTTTCATGATGCTGAAGCAGCAAATGGAATTGTTCTGCTTTTAGTCTTCCATCCGTACTGTTTTGTACTTTTGTTCTTGTGATCTGTACTGTTGAAGCTGTGCCTGCAAATAACCCCGTCAGCCAAGTTTACTGTAAAGTGTAGCATAGTGCTTTTTTACTGCTTCAGGAGGCAGGCATCGTTCTTCTCCAAAAGTCCTAGAGAGTCTTATTTTTCAAGCCATAAATTGCAACAAATACCCCTTCATGTCTCTAACAATGTTTTTAACTTTTCACTAGAGTAAGGAAAACAAACCATGGTTTAGGGTAAGCGTGGTGAGGCTGAAAGTCCTTGAGCCTATGACGGTCAGTTTTGATGCAGGTGTGCACACACACGTGCTTGTATTCAAGCCCTGTGTTAGCGTAGGAGATGTCGGAGCTTTCTAGTAATGGACGTGCGTGGTCTGTATTTTCTCTGCTTAGCAGTAATTCCATCAGACAAATCCTAAGGGACTGCAGCTGGCCTGTACTCTGTAGACTAGGAGTGTTAGAAATCCTGAGATGTCATTTCTGAAAACCTGTGTCTTTTATCTTGCTTTTTCCTTCAGCTGTATGCCTGAGGAGTATATGTTTTAAAAAGGCTTGTGCAAGAGCATTTTGGGAAAGAACAAGAATTTGCTTTTTTCAATTTTTCAAAAATTGTTCTGTCATTCAGTTCTGGTTTTGGGTTTGGTTTTTTTTTTGTGTGTGTTTTTTGATGTGTTTGTTTTGGTTTGTGCATTATTTTTTTTTTTACAGTAGACTGCTGGCATCACCACAATAGGGGCTGTGGGTAAATGCATGCTTTACAAAACTATTTTGGATGGAGAAAAGTAAGCAGGAAGGAAACTATTGTGCATCCTCTGTATTTTTTGAAAACAAAACAAAACAAACCACACCACAAAAAATCAGCTGAAAAATCACAGTTTATGAATAGCAGCCATCAGCAGAGCACACTAAGGTACGTCTAAAATTGCTCATCAGCTCAGGCTCAGCCCATGTCTTCATCACAGGTGATCTTGCCATGGCAAGAGCAGATCATGATCATCGTGTGTGGCACCCTGCGATGACGATGCTGCTGCAGGCAGCAAACATCACAGATTCTGCAGGTGATAAGTGTGAAACGTACCCAAGTCCCAAGGCTTGAATAAACTGCTAGAGCAATCGGGATTCTCTGAGGGGTTTGGGTGACCTGTAAGGGATGTGATACGGTATCATGTATTTGTTCAGAGTTTTTTTTTGCTGTTAGGTTAAATGTATAAGCAGAATACGATCCACAAAACTGTTGTGCTAAGTGGAGAGCCAAGCTCTCCGCAATGTAAGACAACAGAAATGCACTCATGACTTAATTATAAAAATTTATTGGTTAAATACATTCTTAATTTACAGAGGTACCATAATAAACTTACTGGACTTAACCAAGATTTATTTAGGACACTGTTAATTGTACACAGAACAAAGATGTCTTCCTGAAGGTATTTCCAGAGGGTGGGTCAAACAGAAAAATGTTTTGATAAGTGAGGCTTTTATTATCACACAAACGTGAGGCTCTAGCTGAATTTCAAGGTCACAGCTGAAATTTCCTACTATATTGCAGTTAGGATTTGTGTTCCATCTCATTCTTGATTGTGGGTTTTTTTTTGTTAATTATGTACTGTACACCTTAGGAATTTTATGTTATGATCTGTATGCAGTTTCATGGTGATACTAGGTATGAAATCTTAAAAAAATGCCTTCTGCCAAAGCCAAGCACATAACTGGTTTCAGTTTTGTTTTAGCTGCCTGCAGTAATGCACGCAGCCTTTAGATGGCACTCCTTGCTCTGAAAATAAGGCTTTGCTGCTCTTCCTGCCCTGCATCGTAGGGAGGAGATGATGAAATAAAGCAGAGTGGTCTTACCTACTGACAGGCACTGATGTTAAACATTCAGTGGAAGTTACAAAACCAACTGGTCAATACACAGTTTTAAAAAAAGAGGAAGAGGAAATTGAAAAAATATAAAAATTCAGTTCTACCTTTGAGACTCGTATCAAAATCTTAGAAAACTGCCAGACGAATAGGAAGTAAACATCATACACTTCAGCCTCATCCACCACCACAATGATGCGGTATGTCTTTGGTGGACCTGGGTATTGTGTCTGTTGGTGTGGGCTTCGCTTGGTTCTGCTTGGTTCAGGAACTGTGTTGGCACGGGTCGTGGTGGAAGAAGCCTGCTTTAATAGGGTGAGCCACTGAAAGTTTATGGTTGAAAAGTCTGAGTGGGCTTGCAGGAGTCAGGAAAGCTAGCTAGCTATACATTTGTTCCCTTGGATTTCTCTAGAAAGAGATGGCTGTTTTGGAATATTGGCATCTCCTGGCAGGAGAGCTTGGAGAGTGGGAAGGGTTGTCCTCAGAGGTGGACTTAGTTTGCACAGGAGTTCCGGACAGGCTTGCTGGGGATGGTAAAACTGAATAATAGCTGTTTAAATTGTCATGTTTCCATCTTTCTAGAATAGCACATGATTTATAATTGGTTTTATAATATTAATCCCTTTAATGAAAGTAGAAATCCAGTTCTCAGTTCATTAAAACTTTGTGTGATCTTCATTCCTCAGTTGTGTGGATTGTGTAGTTTAAATATGCAACACTTCATGGTCATGAAGCTTCTAGAGGAAAAAACAGATGGCTAACACCTGTGTCTATACCTGAAAATACCGTGGCATGACAGTGACTGCAGAGCGAAACGGTGCCGAGGTCCTCCTGTCTCTGCTGCGTGTTCCCCAGGCGTGCTTCAGGCGAGCTCCAGGCTGCTGCTGAGACTGGACGCCTGTTCGCTGCTGCGGGGAGTTGTTCAGCTCGGTTTTGGCCGTAAGCCTGTCTGCCTGCTGTGATGGTAACGAGGGCACTTTGCTTACACACCAATTCAGACGCACCCCGATCTTTTGTACCAGTAGGTATTTGTTGCTGTAATACTTGGACCTCATATTGATAAGGTTGACGGAGTCAGAACTATTTCAAGGTCAATCATGATTCTGGTTTACAGTCTCCGTCTGCCACCCAACTGTTGGCACTTTTGCAACCTGAACTTTCAGACCCACGAAAAAAGATCTTGTAAGGATATCTTGATACCTAGTGACCTGCATCTCTCTGAAGTCATGACTCGTGCTAACAGCTTACTGGTTCCTTTTTGTTCTGTAGTACAGAAGTGATGGAATACTGTCAACAGTGAAAGAGCCAACTGCAGCATCATTTTTTCTATTCCAGTCTGATGAAGTTGGCAGTTAACTGAGATGCATTTAACTATTTTGTCAGAAGCCAAATGTTGCAAAAAGGAATTTACTACCAGAAGTTCCTATAATGTGAAGCTGCCTCAATCATGTGTGTCAGTTTGTCGTTCAGGTCACACTGCAGCTTTTTACTAAATGCTTTTATTAGAGCTTCTTGAAGTAACCTCTTGACAGGCGTGGTTTTTTCCTTAAGGCCTTGATAGACCATTTGTAATGATGCTCAGTATAGTTGGTATGTGGTAACAAACTGAAAACTAATCCCATGTCTGCCGAAAGCTAAAATTGAGGCTGTATAATATCCTTCATGTTAAGGATAGGAATAGTGTTGCTGAAGTATGTTCCAGCGCTTGAGTGACAAATGAAATGCAGACTGAGTGAAGACTGGCTTTCCACTTCCATGAAGGGCGTGGAGGGGCAAATAGTTGGAATAGTGCAGCTACTGCATGGAGGGGATCTGAGAAAGCTCTGTAAATGCTGTGTGTCACAGCGAACTTCAGCTGGGAAAGAAAGGTAGGATGGTGCCTTAAGAACAGCAGAAAAACCTAAACCTATAGCTGAAAGGATTTTGGGGGAAGGGACGAAGGTCTAAGATGATTCATACCAATTTGAACATTATTCGTTAAGAGACAAAATACTTGTTTTACTTTTGTGATCTTCCGGTACAAGCAGCTTAGGCTAAGAATAGAAGAATACTACACAAGGATTTGCTTCTGAGTTTTCCCTCTTACCAGTATTAGATTTGATATTTTTCTACTATGAAATATCAGTTATCTTCCTTATCCTCTAAGTCATAAAAGAAGTGGATTCTACTGCTAATGTGGCAGTCAAGCAGTAATGAAACCCGAGTATCAAACTTGATCTACATACCGAGAGCTGTAATTATATCTTAAAAACAATTTTTTAAGTTTGGATTTTAAAAAGATTTTAAAGAAGCCCAAAGCAGCTTACTTGATGCAGACTTTGTGCATGATAAATGTAGTACCAGACAGTACACGTACTAGAACGCTATGTAAGTTAAAATGGTGTTGCACCACATTATTTCCCTAGTTGGAAACAGCTAAAAATCCTGCTTGTATTTGCTCTCGGAGCATTCATGAAGCTTGACTACATACACTGTCACAAAAGACTAAAATGTTCTTATTTGACTTCAAGATACTACTGTGACTGTCTAGAAAAAGTAGTGCAAAACATTCATAGTCAAAACACGTTGATGTCTTTGCTGTGCCTTTAGGACAGAAAACATTCTCTCCCACGTGCAGGGAGTACAAAGAGAGGCAATGTTTCACGGTGTTTTTAAAATCTGAACAAAGTTCTTGGGAAAAATCCCAGACTTCCCTTGCATCTCTCCACTCATCCAGTCCTCGTCTAGAGATTCCAGCTCTGTTATTGTATCACCTGCCTGTAAGAGAAGGAGTAACATGAGCCAGTGCAGCTTCCCGTGCAGTGTTAATGCATGCACAGACGATGTTATTCAGAAGCAATTTACATCAATCAAACAGAAGCAGGAAGTAGCCACTCTCTTCTGTTGGTCACATCTCTTGGAGATTGTTTGCCAAAACCAGCTGAAGCTTCTCTTAGGGTAAATATTTGGCGATGCTGAAAAATCGCTGCCTTCCGGAAGGCACTGCTTGGACCACTTCCTGTGCTGTTGAAGCTCTCCAGGTAGGTAGGTACGCTAGAGAGCTGGCTCGCAGGCCCCTGCCCTGTTATTTGTGTGTTTCCCTGCTCTGTTAGGAGGGTTTCTTTTCTTAAAACTGATTCAAAGCTTTACTTTCAATTTAGTCCCAGTATTTTCCAGTAATTGGAAGTTTTCCTTGGGAAACTTTCCCAAAAAGGAAAGCAATTATCTAAGTAGCTCAGTACAGCTGTTTAAAACAGTTAAAACTGTATTTGATCCTTGTTGCTGTTTCCATTGTCCCATGCCACTCCCTTCACCTGAAGTACTGTCACGGCCCTGTCCTTTCTTCCAGTACCTCCATTCCCCTTTTCTGCTTTAAGGAATCATCCTCTCAGCATTACAAGCTGGTAATGCTGAAACTAATTATTTTGCCAGCTTTAGAGAAAATAGTGTGTTCCAGCTGATAAACACAATTTTGAGCCTGCTGTGAAAGTCTGCTGTTTCTCAGAAACTTCCCTTTGAGGACACAGTTATGTAAAACATGACTTTGAATCTACAAGGGCATGCTGTTTCTTGTTCATGTTTCTTAGTATTATCTGGGCATCTAGCAAGTATTTAATTTCTCCCCTTGCTCCTGCGGCAACTACATATTGTGCTGCCAAACTTTCAGAGTTTACTGTACTATGTGTCAGAGGCATTGCTGCTGTAGCACTGGCACTCTTCATGTTCTCCTCCTCCTCACTGCTGTCTTCCAAGTCAAAAGAGAGGCTCCCTTGATCATACCAACTGATTAAGAACTGAATGTACTGCAAAATGAGGTTTATTTGTGTTGTCATGTTTACTGGATCAGAGAAGTCAGAGGAATTCGGCAATTCCTTACCTCTCTTCAGTGACGATTTCACCAATATGAAACAGAAGTAAGGGCAAAAGTATTTTTAGAGAGGCCGTTTACCAAATGTGCTAATATCTATGCCTATTCTACGTGCTTCCTTCTTTCTTGTACCAAGCCTATTTTCACAGTGGCTAGATCCTATTTTCTAGGATTCTTTAGGAGCATAAGATCTTTTGGAAAATTGCACCGAGAGGTACTTACTTTGAAGGAAAGCTCATCTTCATTTTCTCCATGAAAATCATAAAGAGCTTTGGCTTTTCCTTTCTTCCTTCCTAGAGACTGTGACATCTCTACCTTGGCTGCAAAACATGGACAAGACAATTATTTGGACTGGAGTGGAACAAATCTCTGTTTCTGGAGAAGCTTCCTGTCATTCTCATGTTTTTTCCCCACTAGTGTGCTACAGGGTGTCCAGGTGTTACTACTACTTAGAAAATTCAGTGTCCTAATGGAATAAAAATCTCTACTGACACCAGTTCATTTTACAGTACTAACACATTCCCACGGTTCTGCTTCTAAGAGGACTAAATTTGAAGTTCACTTACTTGAACTTATGGCAATATCTAATAAAGCTGTCTTTTCCTCTTTGTACTTGGAGATGAAGCGGCACTCGGTATGTGCTATTTGTCAGTTAAGTGGAATTTATTTCCTGTCAGCTTTCACTCATGGCTTTACTTGGAAAAACTATGGGGAAAAAAAAATGTGATTTTCTGTGTCCTCTGTGAAGGTTTCGACGGCATTCATTTGGGGACCAAACAGAACCTCAGGGAGAGCAAGCAGCGTTCATTCTGTGCTTCACCAAGGGCATTACAATACTTCTGTGCCAAGATGCAGCAGTTGTAGTTATTTACAGCTCTTTGGCTGTGCTGCAGTGTTTCTCTTCAGCTGTGGGAGAACCTGGCTCCCCTCCATCTTTTGTACCCCTGAATTCCTACTAAAGGCAGCCCAATGGTCCTGTTTTGCCTGTGCCCAAACCATGTTTTAAACTGACCCAGAATCTGTATCACCTCCCAGGTGACTTACTAACCAGAGCATTGTATTGCCATTATTAGAGAGAGTGGTTCAATGCTTAGTTTAGTTTTAGGATGTTAAGGACTGTGGTGGTGTGTGGCTTGTTAATGCAATGGAATAGTTGGGTTCTCCCAGAACTCTGCCATGACAGTTGCAACCCAAGGAATAATGAATTTGCCATCTAGTAGGAGCACTGTACCTGAGCAGATCTGAACAAAAACTGCTGGGAAAATCCCTTCCTCTTCATTCAGTCTTCCTCTATACCATGCTGAATCTACTTGCTCCAGTATTTGGATGTAGTCTCCCTTTTTGAAGGATAAATCATCTTTGGTTTCTGCTGTAAAATCATGCAGTGCTTCACACCACTCTGCTGAGCGTCTGTTGTTCTATTCAAGTGAACAGAAGAAATGCATTAATTTTAGAAGTGTTAATGGAGCCCATAAGCTGATGGATACTGGTGAAGGCAGCTGTACAGAGCACGAGTGTCCTGCCTTTCTCTCATACAATAGTGTCACTGCAGATGTAGGCTAGAATGGCATTTCAGCAATTAGCGCAAAATTTCATCCAGGCTCAGACACATTCCTTTTTGTCATTGGTGGCAGGGGACAGGATTAATAAATTCAAAATTAGACCACTGCAGCAATACTTAAAATAGAGCTAACAAGAATTTGCTTAAGCACAACAGATAAAAATTTACTTATGTTAATTTGCCAGAAGCTACGAATTCAGTCAGTTGAGGCCAACTGTCAGAATTCAAGATGTGGCCACGCAGCACTGTGTGCTGTGGGAGTTGTGTTGCGTTCACGTTTCAAGTTGTGCAGCCAATCTGATGTTATAATGCAAAGTCTACAGAAATCCATGAAATCAATATGTAAATTCTGGCCCTCACCTATAAAATTTCATTACCTGAGGAAGGGAAGAAGAAACCTCCATCTTGTTCTTCAGTGCTGCTCCTGTACCTACATAAGTAAAAGACAACTTAGAATAGCAGCAATGACTACTCAAAACATTACTAATGATAGAGATTTTAGATATTCAAAGTGATTATTAAGAACAACTTCTTAAGAAGTCCTACTATTCCTTTTGATTTTTCTTACCTGTCTTTTTCCCCCTTTCTGCCTCCTTCCTGCATTCATTGTCCTTTTGGACTTTCCTCCCATATGCACGCAATACAAAACCACGTTCTTGAAGATTTTTGCGAACATATTCATACCTGTTCCAGGCAGATCTTCAATTACTTCCACAAAGTTCAAGGGGAAAATTCCAGACACGCCTCTGAGCTCTCCTTTGGCCCACTCTTCGTTTACGTATTCTTTAAGGACAATAGTTTCACCTTCTGAAAAACTGAGCTCATCTTTCTGGTCTCCGATATATTCAAATCGTGCTACACATCTTGGGCCTCTGCACAAACAAAAGAGAAACTTATTTTGCTTATCTATTATTATTGTCTATTTCATACGGCAGCATTGTGCAAAATATGGACTGTTATCTTTAATTAAATGATGAAAGAATGCACTGAAGATGGAACAGGTGGAAAATTGGGGTCTAGCCCTGGTTCTCATCTCTGCTTTCTGAGGAGGATGAGTATGGAGCTGGATGCAACTTCTGCATCCCAGTTCCTGGCTGTCACAGTATTTTGTGTAAGCCTTCCAGTACTTAAAGGGGGCCTACAGGAAAGCTGGAGAGAGACTTTTTACAAGGGTATATAGTGATAGGACAAGGGGCAATGGCTTTAAATTGAAAGAGGGAAGATTTAGATTAGATATAAGGAAGAAATTTTTCACTCAGAGGGTAGTGAGGCAGTGGAACAGGTTGCCCAGAGAAGTTGTAGATGCCCCATCCCTGGAGGTGTTCAAGGTCAGGTTGGATGAGACTTTGGGCAACCTGGTGTAGTGGAGGGTTTCCCTGCCCATGGCAGAGGGGTTGGAACTAGATGATCTTTGAGGTCCCTTCTAACTCTAACCATTCTACGATTCTCTTCCAAACAACAACAAACAACAGCACTTTGTTTCTGGGCTACATGCCCCATTTTACATTTTTGATCATATCCAAGTAAGTGTCCTGATATGCTTTGGTTAAGAGTTTGATGTATTTTTGAGCTACCATCCAATTTAGGTGCAGTCAAACATGAGTGGAGGGGTGGGTGTTTGGTATTTGTCCCAAATCCTAAAGACATGGAGGTTTCATAGGGGAAAGCTAGTTTTTATCTACTTTGACAAACCTCATTCTGTAAGATCTATCTCAGACATTGGAAATAAATTATCTATTGAATAAAGAAACGTCAATGCATCTGATAAATTTTACATATTTTGGTATAATACTGAAAAAACAAATTATTTTTTTCTACACTTAAATATATTTAGTAATTTAATAAACTAATAACATAAATTTAAGAAATACCATGCTGGAAATAAGTGGTAATAGGCTTTAATTTTTTCTATAGCATCACAGCATACAACTAATGTAAGCTTGATTCCCACCCCCGTCTCCCACTCATATCTGCAAAAGCTTCAGGATGGAGCTAGCACTTTCTGTTTCTTTCTTAGTTGCAGAAGCAGGTTTTTAAAACAAAGTTTTGATTAAGACAAGCCAAGCTCTATCTGAAGAACAGACCCAACAATCCCATTGCTACTAGTAGTTCTTTCCTCTGCCTGAATTTCCTTTAATTGCTGCAACGAGTCATTATGAAATCCAGTAAATCATTATTGAGTAAAAATAGCGTGTTCCTTGCCCACAAATCTTGTAAATCAGAAATGAAAGTGCTTGAAAGTACATTTGATAATTTGATCTGGGGAACTTTAGGTTCACCTGCTTAGTTACACACTTCAAGGTTAGATTGATTTCTCTAGTTAAAGTACAATTATATTCTGTCCCATTTTATCTGGTTTCAAATGAGTAGGCGGCCTACCATGTTATGTCTTACGAGCATGCTGGAAGAAAGTAACAAGGCCAGGAGCAAAGAGAGGAGAGTGCAATGCTGCTGAAGTTAAATCAGATTGGTTCACAGTTTCTGTAACCAATTTTATTGAAAAATTATGGGAAAAGCTCTTCTAATACAGCTTGTAAGAGGAAGAAAAGTGAGTGAAGGGGACTATATCTATATAAACATTTATTATAGAGGTAAAGTGATCTACCAATTTTTTGAAGCCATGAAGAGAGTGTTTAGACTTTTTTTACCTGAATATGAGTCTTATTAAAACATCATAAACTTTCAGCTTTGAGAGCTTAATTTTTAAAATATATTTTGGTGAAGAAACTGTTAACCATATTAACCTCAGCGCAGATAACACCTGCTTCAAAGTCATCTTTCTTTTTACTTCTCAGTAAATTAAGATGAGAAAGAAAACATTCATCTGACTCACTTAACACATCGTGATGAACAGGGTATTTTTTTCCTGTTGCCGTCTTCTGGAACATCAATCTAATACGACAACAAAAGAAGTAAAATCTTACATTTCAAGCTCATGGCAATGTAACTATAATAAACTTGGAACTGATTAAAATAATCTATTTTTCAGCTAAGTGTCAGCTCCAGTTACGACCTCCATGTGACGCTCTTTAGCCACCGGCATGCTATGATGTATGACCATGTTAATGTAGATTTTGTTTTTGTATGCCTGATTTCTCATTTTTCAATCTCATGCAATCAAGGAGCACTATTTAGTGTTTTCTGTTATAAAGCTGATGTACTGTTTCTACTTGTGGCACGACTGATTGACAGAATATAGGACTGAATGCTACTGTATGTTGTTCCATTTAGCTCCCAACTTTCATTTGGTAATTGATCTCTATTATTTACTAGCACAATATACCACAACAGACAAAATTATTGTCTACACATATCCTTTCTGGGCTTTGGTAGCCAGCTGTCCTCCAAACAAAAACACATCTCACAAATCTCACATGAATTGGAGAAACAAAATTTAGAAAAATCAATACATAGTTATATGAAACAGAGAGCATTCAAGTCCTTTATCATAAAAGGACTTCAGTTGTATTTTTGGTGTGACACAAAGGATGATCTGTGAGGTGCGTAAGACCACAAGACTAGAGAGCCTGGCAAGGAGCTTTGGGTTAAAGCTCACTATCGCATGAGCCAGTTTCTATGAAAATCAACAAGAATGTTTCATTAGCTTATGTGAAGGACTGGAGAAAACAATGCTGCCTTTTAGGACAAATAATCTTTACAATGCTCTTGCCAGAGGAGCTGGTATCTGTGGTGCTCTGATGGTTCCTATGGGAAGTAATAACCATGTATTTATTGTTAGGTGTCTAGACCTAAGCTACTACCCAGCTCAATATTGTAAAACACACTATAGCGTATTGTATAGAGACCTTGTATCAAGGTCATGACATGAATGGAAAGGAGAACTCACTCAGTAAATTAGCCTCATTTACTGTATTCTTTTTCCTTTTTTTTTTAAATTTTATTGAAAGAAAAGATTTTTGTACTCTAAGGGTAACCACGTCTTACAACTAAAATAGAACCTGAAACACCTCTTCCCTAGCTTTTATGAAGTTGCATCTGTCTGTATCAATGCTGAATTTGACCCCAAATATTCATTCCACTGCTTCAACATAAAGTCTTCTCTCTATTAGCCATCAGTACTAACAAGAACTTTTAAATTAAATTGTTGGTCTGTGAAGCAGCAGCTAATCAATTTAGCTAACAAATCTTTCTCTTGAAAGCAAATCAAGTATGGTTCCATGATTACTAACCCCAAGTCTAGTTTTTATTCTTCAACACTTCTCAAATCTTAAAATTTTTCTCCAATAACACAATTACAAACTAAACAGACACCCTACACTCTCTGATAGTTAGCAAATACTTCTTATTATTCTTGTAGCAGCAGTGCTCATCTCTGCCAGCTGCCCCGACTTGACACAGACTTCTACTGTCTTTAACGCCCAGCCACACACCTTCACTGCGTTCTGGTGTCAGTTTAGCATTCCTCTGTGTCCATGCAGCTGGTGCGGATAGCCTAGCAGCCCTTTCTACTGCCACAAAATGGACTTCAACCTCAGACTCAGGCTTGCAATAGATTCAACTCAGCTTTGGACACAGTGAACCATTTTAAAGATGAGGCACTCAATTAATTGCTATCAGGCTCCAGAACAGCACCTCTCTTTTTGCCTGCCGTTTACTGTCAAGTGTCCCTTTCAGTAACAGGATTGCTTTAAGCTGCTTATTTGCAACACCACAATCTCCTCACACTGTGCCAGCACAACCATTTGTGCAGCCACTTAGTGAGCCACTTAGGCAAACTGATCCAGGAAAAAAAAATATTCTGGGAAAAAAAAAACCAAAACCTGTTTCATTGGGCCCAAAGCTGCTCTGACCCAGTTCACTACATGGCTATAGAACTGGTGATTCCAGCACAGTTCAAGGGACAAGAATATGAGAGGAGCTGGGAGGTAGTGAGGAGGCACAAAAAGCAATTATTTTACTGAGTGTTGATTCTTACTTGCAGCTGTGAAAAGTTCATCTGCTCTGCAGACCCTGAGAAACTACCCAGGTTAACAACAGGAATCTGGTAAGGGCCATGATTTTCTCACTTGGCTTCAAATTAACAGCAAAATAATCCCCATAACACAAGCTGGTTGTGCCAAATCCAGCATCTTTCTATTACCACACAAACAAGTTGATATGTCTTCTGTGTTGCCAAAGGGAAAAGAGAAAATAAATACAGAATGGAGTAAAATACACAGGAGCTATACTAAAATAGAACCAGAAAACCAATGCAATAGGATTTTATGTAGCAATGTATGCAAAGCCTACATACAACTACTTTAACAAAGCTGGCAGGGAATATCCCTGTGCGATTCCCACATTTTCCTCTGTACCACTCGCTATCGATTCTCTCCAAAAGACAAACGGTGTCTCCAGAATGAAGGTCCAAGTCATCAGCATGCTCTGTAAGACACAATTATTTCAGTTAATGGTAGTTGTCACACTCACTGATTTTCTCTAAGTAAAACCTTATTAATATAAATACCACAGACAAAAGCGGAATGAGTTTTCAAAAAGTCCTAATTATACTTGATAAACCAGTTAGCCTTCACTAAAAGACTGGCCCAGCTATAGCTAAACCCACTGATTTGAACAAGTCTACATGTAGACCTTGCAGGCTGAGCTTCCTCATAATTTTTAAGCTCTAATTCCTTAGAAAATTCCCATTTGAAAGTCTTGGAGTAAAACAAGCTTCCAGAATATTCACATTTACTTACCTGCAGTAAAATCATGCAGGACTACAGCATGAGGTGCGCTTGCGTCAGAAACTTTTGGAGAGTGATTTGAATCCTGACAACAACAAATAAATCCAAGCAGTTTATAAATCACAGAAGACACTAACAGAGATTCTCTGTTATGTACTCTGAAAGTAATTTTCTGACACAATGTTGTTCTGGTATCAGAGAATCGCCTCTGGAGGCAACAGTTACTACTGGTCACACAGCTATGAATCTGAATTCTGTATGCCTTTGCCAGTGTAAACCAGAATGCATTTCACCAAAACCTACTTTTGAGCCAGTAAAAGGAAGGGAAGGCATGTAACTTTTCCCAGCACAGACAAAGCCTCAGCTCTCTCTGTGGGTCAGAAATCTGGAGCATTGACAGCAACTCTCATTGCAAGGGTTGTGGCCAAATTTTGCACTGCTGCTCAGTACTGTGTGCCGCTAGTTACTCTTCCTTGCTCAGAGAGAACCCCCCAGCCCCAGTGTCCCCAGCACACTCAGCAGGGGCAGCACATCTGTCGACTGCCAAGCGTTTTAGAGGGGGGAGCCAGCCACTAGGCCTTTGCTTACAGGAAACACTGAGGAGAAGTGACAATTTTGTTGTGGGATCTTTGTAAGGGGAAATTACATTCAAAATGCTGAGCCTTCTTCGCTATTGCACCCACTAGGAATTTTTAGACTGTACTGATGACAATCACTGGGCGTGAATTGCATTCAAAGTAATTCATTGCGTTCCAAAAACTCAACCAAGAAAGTCCAACATGGACAAAGACAAGGCCAGAATAATACGAATTACAACAGATGGCACAGAAATCTATTTCAGCCATGGAGGTTTCTCATAATAATCAAAAAGGCTGCTCATAGCTATAATTTATACTAGCTATTTAATATTAATACAGTCATGCCCTAAAAACAGGTTAGGTTCTGTAGAAGCAGAGAGAGGAAAATATTTTGAAATCCATAGGTCAAAGCCAATTCACTGACACATCATGTACAGCACTTCATAAAACTAAGCGCTTATCTTTTGCCCGCTTTTCAGATAACTCAGCCAAGGGAGTGACTATTCGTATGAGATGGAGGAACTTCACCAGTTACCTCTCCCTTCTGGCACTCCAAGTGGTTACTGCTGCTCTGCTTCATAAGCAGAATGTCCCTGTGCTGCAAGGTAAATCACCACTATTAGGTTTTGTTTTGGTGATTGTTTTGCTTTTATTAAAGAAAGACGAGGATTTAATAAACCGCTATTACATTTCTCAGTGCACCCTTAAAAGCCTGAAGCCCTCGCTACTTTAATGCAACAGGAGTCTTGCTCATTAAATATTTATCAGCAGAAAAAAATGCCTTACCTTACAGGACAGTTCTCCAGAGTTCCTGGGAAGACCATCTTCCTTGGCAACTCCATGAGGCACAGGCAGCTTGAATGGAAACAGAGGCAAATGGGAGAGTTTATTTCACTTCTATGTACCTGAAGTTCCCACAAGTGAAAAAGGTCAGACGATGAAACTATTCAGACCACCTACTACAGGTAACTAATTTAGGAGTCCAGTAGAAGAGGACAAGCTCTTTTGGAAGGCCTTCAGGACAACTGCTAGTGATATTTCACTTCGAGAAACTCAGGTTTTGTCATTCACTTTAAAAGCATCTTAGTCACCTAACTGGCATCATACCATATGGTACATGATGTTCAGCAACACACTGACACAGAAATGTATTCATTTGTGTCATGGAGCACACTGGAAAAACAACCCAGGAGGAAAATTTCGTTGACAGTAACAGTTGAGAGCAGGGAGTTACTAGTGATCTGCTACTGAAATAAATCTCATCTACAAAACATGTCACGCGTTTCTTATGTAAATAGCTGTGTCTACACCAGAGAGGAAGCAACGTGCTTCCCTTATCTTTAAGCTGTTCCTACTATCAACTTAGATACATCTTTTTCCCTCTTTCTTGCTTCTCTGCTCCACCAAAGATCTAAATGCAAGAGTGAAGAGAAAAGAAAAGGCAAATGAAAGCTTCCACTTCTTGCTGAACATTGATGATATTCATGCTATGGTTGTGTGGGTGCTTTTTTTGACAACAGCATTGGTTCAAGCAGTCACCACCTCTGATCACTGACCAGTTTCAAGTATCTGGTGAAAGACTTTCTCCTTCTCATCTGTAATGTTGATCCATTTGTATTTAATACGCCCTAAAACCACGTGCAATACCAAAAAGAAACATTTTTGTAATGCAAAACTTTTTTGTAGAACACTGGAACAGGTTGCCCAGAGAGCTGGGGGATGCTCCATCCCTGGAGACGTTCAAGGCCAGGTTGGACGAGGCCCTGAGCAACCTGATCTAGTTGGAGATGTCCCTGTTCCTTGCAGGGGGGTTGGACTAGATGACCTTTGAAGGTCCCTTCCAGTCCTAACCATTCTATGATTCTATGATTCTATGAAAAGGGATGGCATCAATAGGATGAAAAGGTAAGCTAAGTGATGTTATATTCCTCACTCTTTGCGGCCTTGATTAAGCAAGGTAAACTATGTTTTAAGTTCTAATGCTCCCCAATTTTCTTTTGCATTTTGACATATACAGGGAAAATCAATATACAAACACAATTCTTTAGCATCGTTTTGATGTGACTGGTGACAGCCAACATGGCTTCGCTAGGGGCAAATCGTGCCTGACAAATTTGGTGGCCTTCTACAACGGGGTTTCAGCGTTGGTGGATAAGGAAAGAGCAACTGACATCGTCTACCTGGACTTGTCCAAAGCATTTGACACTGTCCTGCATGACATCTTTGTCTCTAAATTGCAGACACATGTACTTGATGGATGGACCACTCGGTAGAGAAGGAATTGGCTGGATAGTCACACTCAAAGAGTTGTGGTCAATGGCTCGATATCAAAGTGGAGGCCAGTGATAAGTGGTGTTCCTCAGGGGACAGTATTGGGGCCGGTGCTGCTTAACATCTTTGTCGGTGACATGGACAGCGGGATGGAGTGCACCCCCAGCAAGTCTGCAGATGACACCAAGCTGTGTGGTGTGGTCGACACACTGGAGGGAAGGGATGCCATCCAGAGGGACCTTGACAGGCTTGACAGATGAGCCTGTGTGAACCTCATGAAGTTCAAGAAGGCCAAGTGCAAGGTCCTGCACGTGGGTTGGGGCAATCCCAAGCACAAGTACAGATTGGGCAGAGAATGGATTGAGAGAAGCCCTGAGGAGAAGGACTTGGGGTGCTGGTTGATGAGAAGCTCAACATGACCCAGCAATTGAGGGCCACGAAGATGATCTGAGGGCTGAAGCACCTCTCCTATGAAGACAGACTGAGACAGTTGGGGCTGTTCAGCCTGGAGAAGAGAAGAGCTCTGGGGTGATCTTATTGCAGCCTTCCAGTCCTTAAAGGGGGCCTACAGGAAAGCTGGAGAGGGACTTTTTACAAGGGTATATAGTGATAGGACAAGGGGCAATGGCTTTAAACTGAAAGAGGGAAGATTTAGATTAGATATAAGGGAAAAATTTTTTACTTTGAGGGTAGTGAAGCACTGGAACAGGTTGTCCAGAGAAGTTGTGGATGCCCCATCCCTGGAGGTGTTCAAGGCCAGGTTGGATGATGCTTTGGGCAACCTGGTGTAGTGGAGGGTTTCTCTGCCCATGGCAGGGGGGGTTTGAACTAGATGATCTTTGAGGTCCCTTCCAACCTAAACCATTCTATCATTCTATGTGTGCTTGCAGCCCAGAAAGCCAACCGTATCCTGGGCTGCGTCAAAAGAAGTGTGGCCAGCAGGTCGAGGGAGGTGATTCTGGCCCTCTACTCTGCTCTTGTGAGACTCCACCTGCAGTACTGCGTTCAGCTCTGACATCCCCAACACAAGAGGGACATGGACCTGTTGGAGTGGGTCCAGAGAAGGGCCATGTAGATGATCCGAGGGCTGAAGCACCTCTCCTATAGAGTTGGGGCTGTTCAGCCTGGAGAAGAGGCGGCTCCAGGGAGACCTTCTAGCAGCCTTCTAGTACCTAAATGGGGCCTACGAGAAAGCTGGAGAGGGACTTTTTACAAGGGCGTGTAGTGATAGGACAAGGAGTAATGAATTTAAACTGAAAGAGGGGAGATTTAGATTAGATATAAGGAAGAAATTATTCACTCAGAGGGTGGTGAGGCACTGGAACAGGTTGCCAGAGAAGATGTGGATGCCCCATCCCTGGAAGTGTTCAAGGCCAGGGAGGATGAAGCTTAGAGCAACCTGATGTAGTGGAAGGTGCCCCTGCCTGTGGCAGTGGCGTTGGGACTATATGATCTTTCAGGTTCCTTCCAACCCAAACCATTCTATGATTCTATAATTTTATGAGCTGTAATAGCATTCAGAACTGGTGACTGTAAAAAGAACCCCAAAACCCCAAAAGCTACGCATTAAAGACATATATAAAAACTACATATATACACAAAGACATTCACACATATATCTACATTTTGCATGTATATATTGCTTTCTCCACTATTACCTTACTGTACTTGTTACTATTTATCTATTAGTATTTTCTAAGGAAGACTACGCTGATAGAGGCACTTTGAAAGCCACATCATAGTAACCCACCTTACTACCTTTTTTGCTATTTTAACCAGCACTGTTTTATAAACAGCTTCAGATAGAATATCTCAACTCTCACCATGTATTTATTGTAGAGAGGATGACCTGGTTTAGGTCTAGGAGGTAATGCTGGATCTGGATTTTTAAAGACTTGACTTTTTGCTCTCTTGGGTCCCAGTCTGAACTTGCCGGGTTTTTTATCGGGAGCGATGTCAGAAGTAGATCGTGAAAGAGCATCCTTCTGGGAGGTGGTCTTGTTTGCAGAGAGTTTTGGTGGAGGTGGCCTTCCAGGAACACCTTTAGGTGGGGGAGGTCGAGCAGGTATAATTTTTCCATCCACAGGCCTAAAAATTGGGCAAACCATCAAAGAAAAATGCATATTAATAAGCCTGCCACCTCATCCTGCACCACAACTCTAGCTACAGAGGATGCAATAAGGAAACGTGACTCATGATGACCTGGGCTGTAGAGTGTGTAGTATCTGAAGCTCTTTGGCATTATATGAACTCTTCAGATACTAGGACTGGATGATCAAGTCCTTGCACAGATCCTTTGACTACATATTTCCACGTCTGCTCACCACTTTCGGTTATCAACAGCCTGCCAGTGTTTTCAGGAGCCCACTACATAAGCAGGATTTCTTTCAGCAATCCACCTTTAGAAAGAGCTTTGTCTGAAGCTGCCTCAGGATGGAGTTCTTCCAGGGGAGAGCTTTAGTGAAAGCCCTGAGAAGCTCTACTGATCTAGCTGGTCTTCAGCAATCAGCCTAGCTCATTCCCTGGGATGTCATTTACCTGAAGTGACTTTTGGGCCTCTGCTGAAACTCATGACATATGACACCACTTTGCACAACAGCATCAATAGCAGAATTTACCATTTTTATGCAACACGTCTGCTGCAGAAAGCAAACACCAGTGAAAATACTCAAGTTTTTTGGCAATGCTGGAGGTATCACACTCTAATTAGTGTGCCAGTAGTTTAGAAACCAAAATCAGAGACTTGTGACAGTGGTAATGTTTTTGAAAATATTTTAAATCTAAAAAATCTTCCTTTAATCCATTGATTAAAAAAAGCTGCCTATAGTGTACACACGAGCCATGATTTTTAGAATCAAAGAGTGTGGCCAAATCGATAATTAAAAATCACCTCTGTTATAAACAAGCATTCTGCACGTGAAACTTTGGCTTCCTCTTTTTGAGAACCCTGGCACTATCACTATTCCAAAAATACAATATTGTTTGGTTGCTATTGGGAAATCTTTGGCCAGTTACTGCGAGTTTCTGCTACAATTGTCTCTCTTTTCTTCATATGATGTAATTCAGCATAATTACTTGCTCGTGTGAATTCCTCAAGGGCCTGTAAAAATTATCAGCCACAACAAATGTATGGATCTTTGGAGTATCCGTCTGACATATTTTGTGTCATCCATCACTTGAGAAGATATTAGTGCTCTACTAATGCTCCTGAGTTCTCTAATACTATTTGAATGTGGATTGAATTGTTCAAATGTCAAAAAAAGTTTTCCACTTTGTTCAACTTCCACCACCAAGGTTATAATTGGTTCTGCACCTTCAGTCATTTTAGGTCTGAAGTGAACTGTATAAACTAGCCAGTACTTCTGGGAAGCATCTGCCCTTTTCAGGGTGGCAGCATCTGCCACCTCCATTCCTTCACCACTCAAACCCAGCCACAAGTGCAAGTGCTGTTGATCAAAAGGTCAGCAACATGCAGGAGGGGATGTTCTACACTCAGCTGTGGGTGAAAAGGTTAAAGATGCAGAAAGGAATGACTGTCACCAGCCACTGTACACTAGCTGAAGAGCCAAACAGCTGTCCTGCTATAATCTCCCTGCTCATACCAATAATGTACAAACAAGTATTAATCAGCTAGCAACTCAGTCATGCCTATTTATTAGTGAGCATACTGCCTACCCAAGCCTATTGAGTTAGGACTAGAGTTTGTAGTGTCTTCACTGAGACTAACTAGGCAAACCAACTCAGAAACACCACTTTTAAGTGAGTCACTGAAGAATTGTACTTACCTTGGGGGTTGTACAGGTTCTAGCTGAGGCACTCCACCTTGTTCTGAATGATCCAACTCCTACAAAAATTCGAAAGAAGAAAGTCATTTCTTTAAGCCTAAGAAACAAAAATGATCTTGTTTAAATGATGCATTTCTTAAGTTATATCTTACAGACAGGAAAAGCAAGAGTTTCTGGAGGTCTGAGAATAAAGAAATAAGTATTATGGTGTGTTCCAGCATTTAAAAGTCTCGTTGGACATAGAAGGAGATGTAAATAACTTGGTTGGCTACCTGAATCACAGATTAAATTGTGCATTAGGTATGACCCAGCCCTTTTTCCCTGCTACACAGGAGTCAGGGCTTAAGAGTCAAATTCAGGAGAGTCATACAAACGTACAATGTCACTGCCTGTAGGATTCCAACTGTCACAGTTACATTATCAATTTTGATTTGACAGATGAAACTTTGAACAGGCTTAAAGCAGAAAACATGACATTGATGCAACTTGCACAAGACAGCATCTCTTGCAAATAATATGAATTCTTATTAAAAAAGGCATCTAAGTATGTTTCCTAGAGATCTAACAGATAAACCCTGGTGAATCTTGCTTTGGCAGATTAAGGTGTCACTCCTCCCAGCTGCCTATCCTGATGCTGCTAGAGATTACTATCCTGTGGCAGAGTCAGCAGAGCGGGACATGTGCCATGTCTGAAGGGCTTGGACCACAGTAATGGATTAACAAGTTACCATCCTTTCTGCCTCCTGCTGTTCATTTTCATCCCAGTGCCAGACATTACTGCCAGCTCCACTGAACAAGCACAGCTGCTTGTGGAACAGAGTGGTATATCAGAGTGCTGAATCTGGGTTCAAAAGTATCCTTTTTGAACCAGTAATTTTAAATAGGTCTGAACAGTCTTGTTTACTAAATTAGGGATACATGTGCTTGAAACTGGTAAACAAGTTCTGTGATTTTTCCCACCTAGAAAATTCTTAGATGTATTTTGTGACAAAATTTTGACCCCTGATGAAGTCCCCAGATGAATGTTCCTGATTAGAAAGAAAACAACCTGCCACTTACAGATGGGGACGTTATCCTCATACCAAAAATTTCCCTCTTCTGCGTGAAAAGGAAGAAATCTGTGCCAACTGCTGCTTACGGTCAACAATTTTTACTGTTGTTGGTTAATCACTTCTGCTGACAAACAACACTAGTTTTAGAAGCACAGAAGTTCTTATATTTCCAAAGATAAGATTTAAATGTTTCAGTGGATTTGATGGAGTCTTTTTCTTAAAAAAGTCCTCTGAAGCTTATAGATGCCTGTCACAATAACCTGCATGACATTGGAAAAGTTTTGGGGTTGCATTGCATAAAATGTTATTTAACGTCTTGTATTGGAAATTATTTTTTCAGCATTATCCAGAAAAGATGGGACCTCTGTGAATAGCTTCTTCAGTCATGACATTTAAAAAAACCTTTATCCTATTAGCAGAGGTAGCCACAAAGACATTTGTTGGCAGCTGTCCATCTAGTGAGGCTTTTGATTTGATTCCATCTTTTTACTGCCTGTGGTTTCCACAAGATTCTCTGCCATTCCTGCCATCACAGCACTCAATATTTGGAAATTCTACTGTCATTTTCTAGTTTATTAATTCCTTTTTGTAAATCTGTGTCAAAGGGCATATAGGTTACACAATGTCTACCATTACTATGTGCTCAGGAGTGAGGAGCAGAGCCTTACTTTCCAAACTAGACGGTTCTACCTGGGCTCTGACACCACCAGTAGAAAGCAACTGGAAGGAAAGAGCTGAGGAAAGCAAGCTTCATTCATGTACAGAAAAGTTTCCTCTGCCTGGAAATTGGCAGTGTGTGTATATGAAGGTAAAAAAAAGCATTTCTAAAGGACTTTGACAATATTTCACTTGTAAATCTCAATATATCAATGTAAATCTCATTGGACTTTGAACCACTTTGCAGTGCTTTTGAAATGAAATTGGAGAATATCCTGATTCCAGCTGCTAAATACAGAAAATTGAAGAGAGATGTGACCAAAGTTTAGTAAAATCAACGAAGTGCTTTTCAGAACTCACAGCAGTCTAAATTACCTAACTAAGTTAGAGGATGAAATTAAAAGAAAAGTGCTTTATATTTTTGAGTAGTCCTTTTCATCCTTTGGTCCTTCAAATAACTTACTTTACAAATGCTTGGGAGTCACAAGAGATCTGTTAACCAAAGCAGAAAAAGTTGTAATACAGGAAAACAGTTCTAACTTACCACTTTTTTCACTAGGTCACCACTGTTGAGTTTTCCCACTGTGATATTGGAGGTGTTCCCAATAGGTTTTTCAGCA